ATACCTGCTATATGCAGTAACCGTAATTTTACAGGGGACGAAAAAAACCTTATTAATTTTATACTACCGACCTTAAGACTCTACAACTTTGGTCACAAAAAATAAATGACGTTTAACATATATTTAATAATTTAATTAATATATATATATATATATATATATACAGGGTGACTTTGAAGTTGAGTCATTAATTTTCAGATAATGATTGTAGAAGGAAGATAAACCAAAATATGTGTGTAAAAATAAAAAAAAAATAAAAAAAAATTTTTACCTTGTTTTATAAAGTATCCTCCCGACAAGTATTTCAGTGCGGACCTGTATTTGATCGTGAGGTCCCCTCTGAGGTCTTAAGTCACCTGATTCACGAGCCCGTTGTACTACATTAACAAAGGCACGAGGGGTTGGTCGCACTCGATTGGGAAACCGATCCGCATAAACATGTGCCATTTTTTATTTCGTTTGAGCCACGCAACAGATACCACCATTCACTGACACTGATTGTATACAAATGAATGAGATACTTGTAAAAACATCGTTCCAAATTCTTTCGCTTTTTTGTTTCCGATGCGATGAACCGATACGGCGGATTATATCCGTTGTCGCCAAACACGACCACATAATATTGTTATTGAGACAGGGCGGTACTCAAACTTCCAAAGGGCTATAACTTTGTTACTTTAATTTTACCAGGAAAATGGTAAAGGAAAAAAACATTTCTTTTGATCAGATCTACTCACTGTTAAAATAAATGACTCAACTTCGAAGTCACCCTGTATATATATATATATATATATATATATAATAATATAAATTAGTGCAGATAGTTGCCATTTCTGCAAACTTTCTTTGCAGTTAGCAGATATTGTACTATGATGCATAGAAGGATTTAATGAGATTCGTGTTAGAAAAACTGTTATTCATTATATCAAATTAAAAGTTTAATGCTTTTACAAATCAAAAAGATAATAGCATGTATTCTCAGTTACACCTTAAATGAACATTCAGCTTCTTTCCTTAACATATGGCAAATTGTCGTAAAACATGTGACAGTCCTTAGATATAACACTTATAATCTGAAATGACGTGTAGCTGTTTTGGTCTCATAGGCAACTCCTGAGGCTCTACGCCGAAGTCTAGTTTCACTTCAATTTTTCTATCGGGATTATAACATACATGTAGTATACTTTATCTGAAGTCACTTGAAATAGCATAAAAACCTTTGGTCGGCGCGTCCTTTGTAATTTCATGACGTATCATAGGCGTGCGGTCATTTATTTAGAACGATAATAATAATGTTTTTATATCACAATAAATGGATTTTACTATCTTCTTATTTTTTTGATTTGGGATAAAAAATACTTATATTGGGAGTTTAATTTTTATGTTGACTGAAAGTTAAGAAATGGAAAAATTACAGAATTCCAACGTTTGACATAGGCAAATATTTACATAGCAGGTAGGTATATAAAAAGGTATATAAAGACTTACATTATAGGTATTTATATATCATCCTCGCCTTCGGAGCTGTCGCTAGAGTCATCTTGTAGAGGAATTACAACGGGATTTACAGGAGGCAAAACACAATATTCATTTTCTTTTTCAATAATATGCCTAGAACACTGCTTCCATAGGTCTGTGGCAGCAATATGAGATACTGCATCTCTTATTGTGGCCAATAGCGATTCACTTAATTGAGGGGTCTGATTATGTTTTCTTACCTTTTTTTTAAAGCAGCCCAGACCAACTCAATCGGGTTAAAAATGCAGTAATAGGGAGGTAGACGTAATACTTCATGGCCATTTTGCTAAAGCAGATTGTCAACAACATACTCTTTTTCAAATGTTTGTCTTTTAATAAGATCCAATAATATGGCTTTGGTTGATTTTTGTGGTATTTCCATTCCCTTATCCTTCATAAAATCAATAATGTCTTGTTTTTTTGTGCCTGTATTCGGAATTTTGTTTTTCTGTCGGGAATGGTATGGCGCATTGTCCATAATAATCACTGAATTTGGGGAAATGTTTGGTATTAACTGCTGCTCTATCCACTTTTCAAATAAGTTGGAGGTCATGTCCTCATGATAGTCGGCACATGATTCTTTGATATTTTTGGCAGATAACAGCAAGGCATTAGGTATAAATCCATTTTCACTGCCAGCATGGAGAATAATGATTCGTTTTCCACGGTTGCATGGTGCATTTAAAATGCACTTGTTGCTGTACTGCACAACATCATGGGTATCATACCACGTTTCATCCATGTAAATCAGATTTCTTTTCTGCTCTCTATAGATTTTAACTTTGTGCAAAAATTCTTGGCGCAATTCAATAATTCGAGACGACTCCATAATCACCATTCTTTTATCTCATTTTTGTATTGAAAACCACACAGTTTTACAATACAGTGCAGTGAGTCTAAGCATTTGTAATTATAAAAATCTTCAGGATAATCTTTTAATTTATCCCGTATCATTTCCAACGTGGGCACCAAATTTTCTTTATAAAATCCGTATATTATACGACGAATATCTTCCTGAAAACCCACGTCTATTCTTTTTAATTTTTGACCTATGCGCTTTCTGTGGAAGGAATGGTTGACTACATCTCCCCTTTTTATAACCCGATAAATGGTAGACCGACTGATTTTTGTCAGGATACAAATTCTGTTTAAAATTTGATTTTGCGAGGAATCTGGATTTTCGTTTTTCAGACAATCATACATATTTAGGATTACTCTTTGGGTCTGTTCCTCTAAATCTTTATGAAAGAATTCTGCCTGCACAGGTTCATCAACCATCTCCTCGTGGCTTGGAGCATTTTTCCAAGGTCTCCAAAGATCCATATTTAGGACACACAAGAACAATCAACACAACAATTAAATCAACAAGTAAACTGAGTATTCAAAAGTCAAAAACACAAACTAATAAAATCTATGAAAAAACACGGACAGACTAAAGAAAACACGTTTATTCACTGCTACACGGCACTGGCTAAACTGTTTCAATTTTCAGTAGCCACCTAGACTTGTTCGGAGCTCTGAAATACACGCTTTCTCATTGGCTATGTCCACGCATAGGCGTGCTTTACTCCACGTGGACCGGTGAAACTGCCTTTGATCTTATACGGGGGATATTTGCTGCGAAATTTGGCGATTTTTGGAGCAACAGAGCGTGTTAAATATAGATATATAAAACGCACCCGGTATTTCACAGTGTTTCAAGTGACTTCAGATAAAGTATACTTTGATGTCCATTACTACATTGTCCCTGCCTGGTCTAATTGTTGAGTATCACTGCACCTCTATTCCAGAGTAGTCGTTGAAGAAGTCTTAACTCAATTGGATCACCTCATATGGCTCTGGTTTTGTCCTAGCTTCTTTTGACGCCTTAACATACTCATTTGGTAATTCAACAACTCTATTTCTCAGTTTTCTTTAAATGCAACTGTGTACAGAGTCACATTCCATTCGGGTGTGTCCTTTGGTGAGATATTTCTGAGAAATCACAACGTCGTGTTTCATTGCAGAGTTAAGAAAAATAGCACGCGTAATTGTCAGATAGCTGGAATTGCGGCTCATTGACAGACGTGTTGCCAGTGGTAGGTATTGTTTTGGCTGAATAATTCAAAAACTATTTTTTTCTGCAATTAGCGGACTCCATCACAATGTGCGCTGTAGGTAGACGAAGAAAAATGTGCATATACCTCAAATTGGGCAGACATGTCACATAGCAGGTATTGTCAGATGTCCGACGATATGCACAATTTCCATTCATGGAGCATGGAAAAGCCACACGCTATTCGGCGACACAGTTTTAAACGTCAGTGCGGCGATAATTTATGGGCTGGCGTACTCAACAAAATATGAATTAGACCATATGAATTGCCCGCCAGAGTGGATGGTCAGTCAGATCTTGCTTTTCTACAAAGCAGTTTGCATGAGCTGCTAGAGCATGTACCTTTGGACGTTCGAGGCCGCATGTATTTTCAGTGCACTGGTGCCCCATGCCACTTTGCACGGGATGTGGGATCCTCTAGATTTTTTCATATGGAGGTTTTATAAGGGGTTAATCTATACATCTGAATATACAAATGTCAACCAACTGCGCCAGAAAACTGATGAAGCAAAAATAAAAATTATGGAAAACGCAAATTCATTTCAAAGACTGAAGGACAATTTTATTAGAAGGTGACATGATACACTCTTCGGAGCAAGCTAAAATGTTCAGGGCTTATTCTACATAGATTGAAATAGTTTTTACAATAAAATGAATAATTAAATATAACCTCAGTTTATTTACCGCCCTCCAAAGTTGAGGGATGGAAGAGATTTTTCACAAAAAAATGAATTTAAAATTTTTTACGTTGATTGCTAATAAGCTTTGTTAAAAAGTGACATATCGATTGCTAAAACTAACCATTTATCTCATCTCAGAAAACAATCACAGACCTAAACCTAAAGGTTTAGATGTAATTGCGATTGAAATTTCATTATCCCGTTTTTTTCGAAATTTCACAAAATTGCAAATATCTCCTGAACTATAAAATTTCGGACCACACATATAGTGGTTCATTCGATAGGTTTTGAGGCCCTCTATCACCTGATTTCCGTTGATCTACTACTAACTTTACACCCTGTATATCCCCTAGATATTTTATACCAATCCTCGCTACAGATTCATCTAGAAAACGAATATTTTCATCAGATGAGATGCGCAAGAATTTTTTACATAGGGAACATCAAAACAAAACATTATAGAAATGTATTGTGCAAAATTTCCGTTTTCATATCTCGTTACAAGCCAATAAAATTCGGTGTTAATTTGAGTGCTCAATTTGAATCTGATGGCCGAAAAGTTGTGAAGAATCGGATGGAGAAATTTGAAATAAAAATGTCCAGAGCAAGCCTCGAATAATTCAAAGTCACCGTTGATGTTTTTCCAGAACAATTTTAATTATCGAATCACCAGATGATAGTTGTTGAAATAGATATTTTTGTTATAGGATAATCTTCCTTGATATCCTCCAATCAAGCACGATCGCCCGTCCTTCATTACTCCAACATTGCATCTCCGAGAATCAATCAGTGAAATGCCAGCAAAAGATGCCAGACATGATAGACCATTCAGTGGATACATTTCAATTAACTGGGATCAAACTGAAAACGTTCGACTTAGGAAGGGTTGTGTATATATTTCCGAACGTTCAGAATGTTTCCATTACTGATGGAAATATTGTCAATTTGATACCACCTAAGAAACCGAACAGTATTAAGGTGAGTACAAAAATGTCATATTGATCGAGGTCAAAATGAAAACACTCGACTTTGGGTGGTTCATACATGTATTTCTAAACGTTTTTTCTGTTACTGATGGGAATATTGCCACCGCATAAGAGTCTGAACAGTATGGAGATGAGTACAGATAGTTCATACTGATTGGGGTTAAATTGAAAACCTTTGAGTTGCATTAATTGTACTTGCATTTCCAATATTTAATAGGAGTATTGCCACCTTTATACCGACTAAGAAACTGAACAGTATCAAGGTAAGTACAGAAAGGCCATATTGATTGGGTCAAACTGAAGACGCTCGACTTGGCGAGTGGTGTTAATATATTTCCGAACGTAAAGAGTATTTCCGTTACTGATAGAAATATTGGGACCTTGATACCGTCTATGAAACTGAACAATCTTAAGGTGAATAAATTAATGTCATATTGATTGGGGTTAAACTGAAAACGTTTGATTTGGGTGGGATAAACGTTTGATTTCCGAGAGTTCCATAACTGATAGGAATATTGCCACTTTTATACCGTCTAAGACACTGAACAGTACTAAGGTGAGTACAGAAAGGTCATATTGATTGGGACCAAACTGAAAACGTTCGATTTAGGAAGGGTTATACATACATTTCCAAAGGTTCGGAATGTTTCTATTACTGATGCGAATATTGTCATATTGATTGATGAATAGATGAATAATAAATAAATACCACCTAAGAAACTGAACAGTATCAATTTAGGTATGAACGTTCATGCATTTCCAAATGTTCTCTGCTACGGCCTAAGAAACTCAACAGTATAAGGTGGTTTTGTAGAATTTACGAAAGGCTTTTATTAGGCTTATGCAATATTGAATCTATCTAGGTCGCATATAAAAAATATTTCCCTCAAAATGTATTCATAACAGAAATTCATTACATGTCAAATCAAATCAACTTTGCTCGTTGCTAGAGAAAGTTTTTTCAAACATATTTTTGACTTTCCATGACAGTTTATTTTAATTTTTCCTCTATCAAAAACCTTTTTTTTCAATCTTAAAAACTAGACTTTTTAGAATACATTTTATACGAACTTTTCTACTTGAATTTGGTTCAGGAATGCGCACTTGTAATTACTGCATATCATCAAGTAACACCATGTATAGAGACCATTTGGAGGCCAGCGCGAAACAGCGAGAGAACCACATCATAAGTTTCAAATGTTAAATTTAGTGCTGTGTTCCAAAATGATGGCATTCAATCAATAATAGCAAAATACTCATCAATAGTTTCTTCGAAGCTCCAATCTAAATTTCAACATATACGGGTGTTTCAGAACTATGGGATCAAACTTGTAGGGGTTATTCAGTGTAACAGTAGAAAACATTTGAGTATAGGGACCCATAGCCGGAAAAGTGTGATCACGGCACTCCGGCCCTAAGACGCGTTAAACTTTAGAAAGACGATGAATTGCCTAAATAGGATTTAATGCATTTAATTTTTGCCTTTTGTACATGATATCATCACAAAAATTATTTAAAATGTCTTCCTCCAACCTGAATACACCGATTTAAACGTCGCACATGATTTCGGCGGACTTGACAAAAAATTTGATACCCGTTATGAAGGATTTCAAATGCTGCTGTAATTCGTCCAATTAAGTCTTGCTCTGTTTCTACTGGAGTTTAGTAAACCAAAGACTTTACATGTCCCCACAGGAAAAAATCTAGCGACGTTAAATCGGGTGACCTAGGAGGCCAAGAAACTCCTCCACCTCTGGCAATCCAACGGTGCCCAAACCGCTGAGCCAAATACTCACGTACTTGTACAGCAAAGTGAGCCGGCGCTCCATCATGCTGAAACCACATTTGCTGTTGAACGTTCAATGGAACATTTTTAAGAAGTTCGGGAAGAACTCCCTTCAAGAAACGCCGGTAAATAGGTCCTGTTAACCGTTCCAGTAGAAGGCACGGCCCAATTAAATAATCATCAACAATCGGTCCATAAAACAGCGTAAAAAATTGGTTGTGCAACGATTTGATGAAGAAGCCATTGACAAAATTGAACTCTAGGATGATAATCGGCTGCAGTCAATCCTTGAACTTTCTGGAAGTGGTAAAGATAAAGTACTCGTATCCTTAGCAATGTAACGTGTGCTACTTGATGGTTCATCGGCAACTGGCTGAAGGACCTCTTCTTAAAATTCGACCCTTCTTACGATTCGATCATCACCAGTATCATGCCTGTTGGTTTTAAACTTGCCTGTCTCAGAGAGCCGCTGATGAATAGCAATAAACTTTTTGTATCCCGGATGCTGTCGTTCGGGATTACGTTCTTGATACAACTGCGCTGCTGCTCGTGCATTGCAGCTTGTTGCTCCGTGTGCCAAATGCATATCCGCAAATTCTTGATTGGTAGCAACAATTAATTCTTGTTAAATTCTTGCAAACTTCACAAATACGATAGCACGACTAAGGCGATATGGAATCCAGCTACAAAAAACAATCTCTGTTATCGTTTTTAAAGATAACAATACACAAGCGCCGGATATGGGTCCCTATACTCAAATGTTATCTACTGTTACACTGAATAACCCCTACAAGTTTGATCCCATAGTTCTGAAACACCCGTATAACTTCGAACCCTCAAAGGGATGGGAAATTCCATATGTGTACATAAAAGGAAGTAATTATTGTACCCGCATTTTGTGTATTCAAGCCATACCTGGGAATTGCACTATTCTGTCTTTTTCACAAAAAATTAATGAATGTAATAATAATCAAAATAATCTTTCCCTACTAAGCGGAAGCCGTGGCCAATGCTTTTTTTTCGGTACCGTCGCCAGGCCGCAACCTGGAGCGAGTGGATCCTATGAACCGCCCCTTTCTCGGAACTATCTTGTGGACTTATCTTCAAGTTGGGGGCTGTCTTTTCTTCTTTGTTCAATCCATTCTTCGATCTTCTTGACCTACATCTCCCCTCCCCCATACACATGGCGATTAGGAGTTCAGGCTCTGCGCGTGCCCAGCGTGCGATGCCTTGCTGCTTTTTTGCTGTCGAGGACGGTACGTACCAAAACAGCCACGGCACAGCATCAGCTGGACGATGCTGTGCGAGCGTACATCGGCCTCCAGCCGGTCCTGGCAGTTGTTACGTTCTGAATTCCACCTCTCGCGTTCAAAAAACGTGTGGAATGCGTCAGCCGTAAAGCCACAGTGCAGACATCCGTTGTCTTCTATCAAATGAAAACGATGGAAATAGGCTGCAAAACATCCATGCTCCGAGAGAAACTGCGTGAAATAGAAGTCGACCTCTCCCCACTCTCTGGTCATCCACTGGTCCACGTTTCTGATGAGACGCCACGTCCAGCGACCCTTCTCAGCTGTGTCCCAAGCTTCTTGCGATCGTTGGAGTAGCAGTTCCCGAGCATCTGCTCTTGCCATTCCATCTAGCCTATCCGATCGTTCTAATATTTGCTCTATGGGTGGCAAATCTGCGACGGCTACAGTGGAGACTGTGCGATATGCGCTGAATACTCGTAATGCCATTTTCCTTCCAACTGTTTCAAGTTTCTGCCGTAGCTTGGCGCGATTGAGCGCTGTGCGCCATATTGGTGCTGCATAGAGGAGGGCTGATAGCGCCGCCGTGCATAGAACCTTCCTTTTGCTGGCCTTAGGACTCCTACAGTTTGGCATGAGTTTTGCCAACGCCGTGACAGTTTTGGACGGCTTTTGCACCCTTTCGTCTATATAGTCTGCAAAAGTAAGCTTGGTATCAAGCCACACTCCGAGGTACTTCAAAGATTTGGTCGGTCTTACCACAACATCCTGCACGTTAAAGGTAATAGCAGACATCTTTCTCTTGGGTGTCAGCATAACAACAACAACATGCATTTGAGAACACTTTTATTTCCTACGCCACTGGGCGAGGATGTACTGAAATCGCGAAAAATTTCGAACATGAGATATGTTTTTTGGATGTTATAATGGGTGATTCATTTATAGGTATTTTTCAGCAAAAAAAAATAATAAAATTCTTTTTTCTTGTCAAATATTTTTTATTAAAGAAAAGAACTATTTTTGACATTTATTTTTTAAATATTATTTTTTCCAAATGTTGGCCCTGACTGCGGTTGAGATGGTCAATTCTAAAGTTCCAATTTTCGATGACACGTTGGAGCATTTCGACTGGAATTTGGCGAATGACCTGAGTAATGTTGGCTTCTAATTCCTCAATCGTATTGGGCTTATCAATGTAGACTTTGGACTTAACGTATTCCCAAAGGAAAAAGTCTAGAGGTGTAATATCACATGATCTAGGTGGCCAATTCACTGGTCCAAATCGTGAAATTAAGTGTTCATCGAAATGTTCTCGCAATAAAGCCATGGCTGCACGGGCTGTGTGGCAAGTGGCAACAAATAATCCGTTATCATGGCGCGGTAACGAGCACCATTCACAGTTACGTTCTGACGGAGCTCATTTTTAAAAAAATAGGGACCGATGATTCCACCGACCCATAAACCACACCAAACCGTTGTTTTCGCTGGATGTAATGGCAGTTCTTGAACCACTTCGGGTTGTTCTTCACCCCAAATACGACAGTTTTGTTTATTAACGTAGCCGTTAAGCCAAAAATGGGCCTCATCGCTAAACAAAATTTTGCTCGAAAACATTGGATCTTGTTCAAGCCGTGCAAGAGCCCACAGACTGAAACGATGACGCTTTGGAAGGTCGGCCGGCTTCAATTCTTGAACGAGTTGAATTTCGTATGGTTTCAAATTAAGATTCTTACGTAAAATACGCCAAGTTGTTGAATACGACAAGGCAAGCTGTTGAGAACGGCGCCGAATCTATTCTTCACGGTCCTCACGTATACTCTCAGCTACCGCAGCTATATTTTCTTCACTGCGTGCTGGATGTGGTCTATTTGGTCGGGTATTATCCAATATTATCAAATTTTTCGACCGTACGGCGAATTGTGCGTTTGGTGGGCCGATTATGTACATAAGTTGCTCTAAGTGCACGAAACACACTTCTCGCAAAACGTTGATTTTCGTAGTACAGCTGAATTATTTGTAGACGCTGTGCTGGACTAAGTCTTTCCATGATCAAATGTCGAACAATACTGAAACCGAAAATGTCAAATTAGTTGTCATGATGCATGCGCCATAAGCAATTACAGCCACACCAAAAAAGTACCTCTAAATGAATCACCCGTTATGACATGTACATCACGAAAAACCATGTCAGTCATGTTCGTCGATCTGTATGTCTGTCACTATATCTGTCTACATATCTGTTTATCCGCTAATCCCGTCTATAACTTGGAAGGTAATGCTCGGATTTAGATGAAATTTGAGCACAAGGTTACTATTATGTCAAGAACGAAAAAGCTTTTCAGTATTTGAAAATCCGTCCAGTGGCGGCGGAGAGAAAGGCCAAAAACGAAAAAAATAAAAATCCCTCAAACTTCGTCTTTTGACTTTTCAGATGAACCTGATCATTTTTAAAAGAATTTTTAGGAGTGAAAAATTAGGAGATGGGGTTGTAGGGGGTAAAGGACGGTATATCACATTTTTTTATATTAGTATATTTAGACGCTCCCAACCCCTATAATTCTACCCACATCTTAGCCATATTACACACATCATAGGTTTGTCGTTGAAGCCTGGAATGATAGCGAAATGTTTTCAATAGGCGTCTCACTCTGCTATCTGGGCCCAGCTTAATTGCTCTGCTCGTACTGTGCTTGCTTTGTTGGCCGCTGCCGCGTCAGACGACATGGGAAGGGGCAACGTTGCCAATTGGACAGCAAGAATGTCTACGAACTGATTGTATGGACCTGTTTACTGACTTAATCGGTTTAATTATTCTATTGTACATGTTCGTAACTAATTTTTTTCTTGTAGGGTTTAAGTTGCGCTGAACTTAATACTTTACGAAAGTACCCACTTGACGCCATTTTTTAAATAATCAATTATATCTAACGTACTGTTTTGTTTCAAGGTTTTGGAATTGAGAAGACTGCTGCTCACAAATATAAGCAGAGACTTTATAAGGCACTTTCACAATATCGAGGTTCTAGATTTACGTGAAAATCATCTAGAACAGTTTCCTGTGGATTTTTTTTGGGGAAATGTAAAAGAACTGAGGCTAAGCAGTAAGTATTCATAAATAATGATTTCACAACCTATGTAGCAAGTAACATTTCTGAGATGAAATTATCATAATTTCATCGAGCCGTAATAAAATGACAATAATACTTTGGTTTTACTAGTTCGGTTCGGGTATTAATATTTGAGCTTTTATGAGGGGTTGTAAAAGCACTCCTCTCATAAAGGGATTACCTTTATTGAGACATCATGAGATGAATTGATGAATTAACTGCCATTAGTTGCCTCTTGTCCCTATAGCTCCTTGTTTTGAGTTGTTCGAGCGTATCCATGAAAGCCGCTTATGGGGGGACTTAGACAGAAACTTCTTCCGAAGTTCTCAGAACTGAAGTTAATCACGATAACAACTCATGTTTAACGATACAAGGTGTATGATAATAAGCTCTAAAAGTTTTATGGATTTTAAATTATCAGGATTATTTACTTATAGTGATAATTATCCATTCGTAATATTTGAAGATTAGGCTCTTCAATCAAATTAATTAACGTTATGAGAAAACGATATTATGATGGCTGGCTCGGCAACATTTATAAATATACGATAGAAATTCGTACGTTAGGCTATTTCGGTAGTATTCGGTGTCGAAAAATTTCTTGACACATTTTTTCCTCAACAACTGATGTATGTAAAAGGTTATTTGGTAATTAGGCCACAACCGGGGTTAAGCATTTTACTGTCGATTATAGATTATACAGGACGTTTTCACGATATACCTCATGTATTTATAGCTTTCCTTAACACAACTGACTGCTTTGTCAGTCACTGGTGACTGACACAAAGGGTCGTATCGTCAGTCGTTCGTGCAATATTGTAGGACGCCTTTAAGGCCTCCTTGATTTTCATAGTATTTTCTCTCTTTCAAGCTGGGTCTGGGGTACTTCTAGATTTCTATTGTTCCGTTTCAACGTCAGCGCTCTCCTATTGTGAGCCTATGTTTTCCTTTTGAATTGTCTAAAATTTTAGGCTGACATAACAGATGATATAAATCAAAAGCATGAACAATTTGATGCAAATATATGTTTCTAACATAACCTCAAAATAGGACGCGGAACAGTAGAAAACTATGATAATCAAGGAGGCCATGAAGGCGTCCTACAATTTGTAGGAGCAACTGACGATACGGTCCTAAGCTATTTCAAGGGTGCCGAATATTAAATTATATTAGGATTACCTAACGCGGTATGCATCGAAATAAATAAAATATTTATGACCTTAGATATTCTAACTTATTTTTGACATTTTAAAAAGAAGCCCGTTGATGTTCAATATATTAATATAATATATAAAAATAACAATAACATTACCTTCCTTACCAATCTCAAATATCCAGACTTCAGAACAGTACTTCACGTATCAACAGAAACATGTTGAATTTGTACTTCAAATATAAGTTTCTGTATAAAAACTGGGTACGCACTACTAATAAACAGCTACTCGTTACACTATTATTTCAATGATATATTGTTTTTGATTTGGCTAACTATAATCGTATAATATTTCAGATAACAGTTGGAACTGCTCTGATGATTTGAGTTGGATCTTCAATATGAACAAACGGGTAGTAGTGGATATCAATGATCTCAAATGTTTCGGATTACCCTACCCAGGAAAACCTTTGATATCAATAGCCCAATATATAAAGGTATATAAATTTCAATAAGAAATTATCAAAATTGTGGGTAACCTTAACTTAACGAAAAGGTCAAATTTGATCGAAACCCACCTTGTAGTGGATGGTTCCAAACCTTTACTTTTTCTTACACGTTACATTGTATTTATGTATCTTAAATAAATGTGTGTGAAATTATGTATCAAGTAACCAAATAAGTTCGTGCGGTTGCTGTATATCGCACATTGCCATGGATGTTGTTGTTGATCGATAGCGATTGTTTGTTTCCTTTTGTCACTTTAGTATGAATCCTTCTTTTCTCACACACAAAAAAAGTTGATGAAAATTTTTACATACCTAGTTTTAATAATTGAAAATGGCGACGAATAAAATAGTAATTCGAAGTTGTTTACTGTATGAGTACAAACTTGGTACAAAAGCTGCGGCGGCGGCGCGAAAAATATGTTATGTACCGCTTTCGGAAATGTTGCCGTTAGTGATCGAACAGCACAGAAGTGATTCAAAAAATGTTCTTCAGGAGATCTCAATTTGAGCGATGAACCGCGCTCAGGGAGACCAAAAATCATGAACAACGAGAATCTTCGACAGGTTGTGGACACAAATTCCAGGACAACGTGCCAAGAACTTGCAGAAATGTTCAGAATGAGTCCTGAAACTATTCGTTTGCATCCTCATCAGGTAGGAAAGACTTGGAAGTTAATCAAATGGATCCTATATGAACTGACAAATGGTAACAAATTGAGTCGTCTTACCGTTTGTTCAGCAAACATTTCACGCAACGCTAATGAACCATTTCTTAATCAGTTATTAACCTGCGACGAAAAATGGATTTTGTATTCGAATTCTAAGCGTTCGTATCATTGGTTGTCGCCTACTGATTCGCTACCACACATACCCAAGGCTTCCTTGCACTCAAACAAGGTTTTGTTGTGTATTTGGTGGACAACAACTGGAATTGTCCATTATGAGTTTTTGAAAAGGGGTCAAACCATCACTGTTAACTTGTATTGTGAGCAGCTTCAACGAGTACAAGCAGCACTAATCCAGAAACAGCTTTCTTTGATCAATCGGAAGAAAGTTATATTCTTGCAAGTTAACGCCAAGCCTCATACCGCAAAAGTGACCCGAGAAAAAATTTCTGAATTCGGCTGGGAAACGTTACTCCACCAGCTACATTCTCCCGACATTTGTCCCAGTGATTATCACTTTTTTTTGTCTCTTGACAACTGTATGAGGCACCGACAGTTCACAACTCGAGATGGTGTAATAAATGCAGTCCGCCAATTTTTTTACTCTAAATCCAGGGAGTTCTGCAATACCGGCATACAAAAATTGGTTCACGTTGGCAAAGGATCATTGAATGTGATGGTAATTACTTCGACGAATAAATAGTGTCTTATTGTTTCTCAATAAAAATTTATATTTTTCTACTAAAAACCGCACGAACTCATTTGGTTACCATATATACCATGGGTTGCCTTGTATGGATGTTTTTGAAATATCTTTAGGAACTAGAAGACACCTGTATCCCCAACTGCGAGTGCTTCTTATCAAAAGTAGTCCAAGATATAATGACCGATGATCTGGTACCAATAATAACGATGAACTGCTCCTACAGAGGATTAAGAGAACTACCTTCCAGTCTGCCAAATAACACAAGAACGTTACATTTGGAAGGAAATTCCATCGCTTCCTTGGAACCACTGAATAATAATCCAGTTTATGAAAGTTTGTGGGATTTGTATTTGGATACCAACGATGTCAGTAGCATTGACGACCTAGAAGGGTCATTTTGGTTGAAGCATTTTAGAGAGTTTTCGTTAAAAGGAAATAAGTTGACCAAGGTAATGTACTAAGTTATAATAAGGACTGAGATCTTGATAATGCACCATTCAATGTATCATGAAAATTTTATCATATGTTAACGGATGCAAAATATTTAACTTCTGGCATTCGAAAAAGTCATATCTGGAAAGATTATATTACTTTTTTACTAGATTTCACTGTGATGTCGGTGATTATTTCAGCATGCACTGGACTTCTATAGGGATAAGCAATTCAACTGTACTAGTTGAACCAGCTGTACCCCGTAAGGGGTGCTCCTTCAGTGACGGATCAGATGCGTATCAAAAAAAAACAAATCTGGCAAGATCGTTAACTTTTTCGTAGATGAATGGCCGAATTCTAACAAAGAGCCGTTCATTTCGTCTGGTCAGAATGCAAACACAGAGGACTTCTGACACGAACACATCTCGTCAACCGCGGCAGCTTGTTTAGGAGTAAGAAGCATTTTTTCCACATAACCTCATCACTCTTTAAAGGGCCTAGATAAGACCCAGCATCAAGTACGAGTACCTATAGCCCACATGTTTGGGGTGCTAGCTCTCGTGTACCGCTATGACAACGAGCTTTGCACCTCAGAGTCTTTCTCCGTGGTGCCACCGCGCGATGAGCCTACCAGACAGGCCCGTCTGACTTCGACCTCCCATCCTTTAAAATCGGGTTATCCTCATAGTAGCAGCGGGATGCCCCGGTATTTAAGCTTCTTTAAAAAAAGATTTTACGGCAATATCGATGATACGGTGATTATCGGAATGGATTCTCCCAATCCCCTCTGTGCTATTGTTTCTTTTGAATGACCCATTCAGGATCGATCCAGCTCTATCGGTAATTATAGCTCCGGACTCCTATAGTAATCCTTACTTATAATATTATAAATGAGAAATTGTGGATATTAGTAACTCAATCACGCCAGAACGGCTGAACGGATCTGGATCAAATTTGATACAGAGATAGTTTATAGTCTGGAATAGCACATACGTTACCTTTTATTCCGGGAAATAACTTTGAAATATCTTGCCCAAACGGCTTAATGGAATTTGACTGGGTAGGACAGCAAAACCTATATCAAAGAACTGACCCCTAAGCTGATCTTGGGGCTATGTAGCCCGTTGAACTGTCGAACTCCTTGCAAATCCGTCCTCACTATAAACTGTATTTTTTCAAAGATGAAAGACAGAGTCCCGCTGCTTGACTTAACCAACACAGCGTACTCTATCAATTGCGATAATTGCAACCAAATATACATAGGTCAGACCTCTACTTCTCTAAAAGGAAGGATTTCATCACACAAAAGTGATTCTAGGCTTGAGAGATGTGCTCTGGCATCTCATGTCCACACAACAGAGCACTCTATGAACTATACAAGTAGCAAAGTTCTTGATAAAGAAAAACACCTATCGAAACGTTTATTCCTTGAAATGTCCCACATTTTCATGAATGGCAACTGTATGAATAAGAAGACAGATGTTAAGCAACTGAGCGTCATTTACTCATATTTGCTAAACTGCGAAAAGTTGGAGCACGTACATTTCTCTCCAAATTTCGACTTTTCACAACCATAAATGGAATCGGTTTTTTTGTCTATTCCACCCATTCCCTTCAAATCAGCCCATTCAAATTTGAATAATTGGTTTTTCTCATAATAAAATAATATTTGTTGAACTCAATTGTCCATCTCATCAACAATATATATATATATATATATATATATATATATATATATATATATATATATATATATATCAAATTCAAGCGAATAACCAAATGAAAATGGTATTTACCATTTTGGATTGGTATTTACCGATCCGTTCAAGCGAGTGTGGAAATCAGTTTGGTTATAAGATTCGTGACGTCATGAATCAGCTGTTATATGTCATACTTATAACCTCGAAATTGTGGTATTTACCCAACTCAGGAGTAGTTTTATATTTCTGGTTATTATTTGAAATGTGACAAGTTAGAATTTTGGCGGGTATTGGATATTTTTGTTGTACTTCAGCTTCATTTTTGGGAAACTTGATACAGGCTGACTTCAGCTGTAGCATAAAGTAGAGCACCTTATTAGTTATACTCACTACTATTGTTGGGGACGCTTTAAATCTAGTTCCTACGAAGAATATTAAAATATGGCTTTATAAACTCACTGGATAATGTCCTCCTGTATACGGTTTTGCTAGTCTTTTTTTTTCATCGTTTTTTTCTATCATTTCTGCTAAATCAGTAATGTTCTCTTTGAAATGCGGAAAGGTTTCGAGAATTGAAAGTTTCATAGCTGCAAAGCCATGGTTCCATCATTAAAAATTATTATCTGAAAAAAAAAATACATTTCTCCCATTAATATTATGAAAGATTTATTATTAAAAACTTTCGATACCCTGTTGTAGACGAAAAAGCACCAATTATTAAGTGATAAATAAACATAATCAGAAATTATATACGCGCTTTTTTAAAATAAACAACTTGCAACAAAACCGCGGTTAAAACCAACGCGTTCAAGCGATTCGAGCAACTGACGTCATCAACCCGTGTGTTATCTTAAACCATATTAAAGCCGCGCAACATAACAGAAATTTTGGTTATTCGCTAGGATTTGATTATAGTTTGTACAACTGCCTCTGGACTGTTGACAGATTCTAATTTAACATATCTTGAAAAATAACACCATCTGAAGTGATTTGGCACAAAATTTTTCGTTTCATCCATCGACACTGACACACCCACACCTTCTGTCACCTGTCAAATGTTTCATCCTACTTGTGATCCTGTGCCCACCATTTTGTGCAGCATCAGGTGGTTCACGATGTAATTTTAACTTTCATTTTAAATATTTTGATCCGTTTTAATTTGTTCCTGACATACAGCTGTGTAGTTTATATTAATTTTGACGAATGTACCATAAAAGCTAGAGATTAATAAAGTATAAAGAGTCCTCTTTGCTTGAATTTTGTCGAAATACCCAACAAAAGGCGGAAGCTTTATTTTTCACCTAACTGGTCTAAACGACAATGACCACGTCTCACGATATATATATATATATATATATATATATACAGGGTTATCCAAATTAAGTGTCCACCATTAGTAACTTTGTTATTAGTGAAAATACAAAGTTGTTTGAATTAGCAAACTAGTAGCATTTTTAACGCTGGTAAAAATGAGAAATAAAAAAAAACAATTGAGAGTCGTTATTTTGATTTTTTTCAGTAAAATAACATTTTTTTAAATGGAAACCCCTGTATATTATATTTTTTTCTGTTAAAGCATCAAATTTTAAACAAAAAAGTTCATAATGACTTTTCCGCTAAAGTCAAAAATAAAGTCAAAATAACGATAAATATTTTTAATTATTTGCAGTATTATAATATTAAGACGGCTATGAACACAACATGGCGTTCGCGATTTGACAGCATTAAGATAAGCGACAAATTGTTAAACTGGACATACTCGCAACTAGAAGGCTTTGGAAAACAATGATAAAATCAAATAATGTCAAACATTAGTGTAAATACTTGTTTATAAGCTTTATTGTGTCATTAATTTAAAGAAAAATGTTCTCCCATGAAGAAAAGTGTGATATGTTAGAATGCTATTTAGTGTGCAGAAAATCATCCTTGAGAGCAAGAGAAATACTACAGTGAATTAGGATATCCCGCTCGCATTCAACCGTATGAACGATATTTTCTGAGACTTTATCGAAAATTTAGGGGCAACGAAAATGTTTTTGCTAAAACAAGGGCAAAAAAAGAATTCATAATAAGCGAGGCCACGGAAATTGCAGTTATTGGATATTTTGAAGCTTATCGTGAGAATTCAATAGCAGATATTCTCAAGGACTCTAATTTCAGTTATGGTACTGTTCAAAGGATTTATTCCGTATAAGTACCGACCAGTTCAAACGCTTTTGGCAGGGGATCCAGAGAGAAGACTTGTTTTTTGCCATTGGTATCTTAGCTTCTGTCGCCAAAATGTAAATAACTTTCGTTACCTTTTATGGACAGATGAATCAAATTTTTCAAATTCTGGAATGTTTAATAGAAAAAACCACCATTATTGGTCAAGAGAAAATCTTTTGTTAGTACATCCAAGAGGCCCACAAGTCCGTTTCAGTTTCAACGTTTGGTGCGGTATAATTGGTTCAAAAATTGTTGGCCCGTTCTTTTATGAGGGAACCCTAACTGGTGAAAGATATGTGGAATTTATGTCAGAAATTCTGACTAATTTCTTAGACGAATTGGATCTTATAAGTAGACATCATCTGCATTTTCAGCAAGATGGCGCACCTGCCCACAACTCCAGAGGTACTTATCATTTTCTAAGTACTACTTTTAATGATCAGTGGATAGGAACAAATGGCCCAATACAGTGGCCTCCCAGATCACCAGATCTAAACCCACTTGATTACTTCTTGTGGGGTTACTTAAAGAACCAAATTTACAAGCGAAGGTACGATAACCTTGACGCGTTAAAGACTGCAGTTAGGGAAAAGATAACCCAGATAGATGGTAGGACCATACTTAAGACAGTTCGAGCAGTTGAAAAACGTGCCCAAAAATGTATTGAAGAACAAGGTGGTGTTTTCGAGCATCTTCTTTAAAAAAAATTGTTATTGTATTTTGTAAGATTATAAGTTGATGTTGAAAATAAAGTTTGTCGATACAATTTAATTGTTTCAGATTGGAGGCCATAACTTCAACAATTTGTAACCTAGGAGAAAAGTTATTGTAAGCTTTTTTGTTTAAAATTTGATGCTATAACAGAAAAAAATATAATATACAGGGGTTTCCATTTAAAAAAATGTTATTTTACTGAAAAAAATCAAAATAACGACTCTCAATTGTTTTTTTTTTATTTCTCATTTTTACCAGCGTTAAAAATGCTACTAGTTTGCTAATTCAAACAACTTTGTATTTTCACTAATAACAAAGTTACTAATGGTGGACACTTAATTTGGATAACCCTGTATATATAGTATTCATAGTTAATTGCCTTAACTGTTAGGAGAAGATATCCTTTAATTTCTTTGGGTAGAAGGCAAAGTATTGCAATAGTACACTCTTATAACTTAAAATCTCAAGCTTTCGAAGAATTTTTTCTTCATCGTCTGGAGTAAGTCGGCGAGATTGTTGCTGAAATTGTTTTTTAAACAACAGTGAAGGGAACACATATTCGACGAATAAAAAACTGGACCGATGAGGAATTATTTTATTGTTAAATGGCAAATCATTTTGAAACGTTTTAACTAAAATTAGGCGTTGATTGATTTTGGAAGAAATTTGGAGATTTTGAAACTATCAACTATTGAAAATTCCCCCCAGATTTCATCTTTTTTTTCCACTGATAACCTCCACATTATGCGACACGGGGTCAGTCGGCCGATCACGTTTTTGTATCTTTTTGATGACAATTAATAGTGAATTGACAACCAACTTAAATACTTGAAGTGTTCAGTGGAGTACAGTGGAATACATGCGTACGAGGAAAAAACAGATCACTAGAAAAAGAAAAATACCCAGAAATTTTACGTTTTCTCACGTACGCCAGTGGTGAAAGGACCTTGTCTTCTTTGTGTTTAATCAAAACGTGGATCAGAAGTATAACGCCTCAGGGTAGATTCTTCGGGTTAGCACTTCTTAGGGCGGCGAGAACCATGAGACGTAAAGGTAAATAAAACCTTAGGACTCCGGTATACGAATAAGTTACGAGGGCGGTCCGATAAATACAAAAGAAAACCGAAAATTTAAGTAGCGATTTATTTCTCAACATGGTGCGGTGTGTTGTAATGGTGGAAGAGCACTTTTTCTTCGCCAAACGGGTCCGTTTTTCTGCAATTCGGCCCTGTGACCGTTTTGCCCTTCTCCAGGTAGGCTAAGTAAATCACACCTTGTGAATCCCAGCAAACGCGATGCCCATCACCTTTCCGACCGATGGGACAGTCTTGGTCTCTGGTGTGTACCAGTGGGTCCATGTTTCGTTGACGATCACGAAACAACGCAGAAACTGCTGCCGATTGCACTTAAACAGCGTCAAACACTGTTCTGAAGTGGTTTATCAAGCCCAATATTTCATGCAGAATACGACCTACGCGGTCTTTCCGAATACAAGATCGTGGATTTTTGTCACGTTATCCTCCATGGTTCGGTGGCTCATCAAAAGCCGACGTAGGACCTCGTTGAAACTCGCTAATCCAATTTTCGACGGTGGCCAGCAAAAGTGAAGAGCATCCGATCGCTCTCTGATTTCGCTGCTCGATTTCTCTTCCAAAAATGGGAAATCGAATCACCGACCGATATTGCTCTTTTTCCATTTTTCTACAATCCGCGGACACGCCCGCTTCCACGCGCGGTTAAAACAAAACTACGAGTCCGTTACGGCTAAAATTTTGACAGTAGCCGTCTACGAGAATGTACTACACGATAGTAAATTTCTCTAGCGACAGGGGCGCCATCGGGCGGAGAAGCTAAGTACTTATCGGGCTACCATTCTGCTGCTGCTGTTGTTACATGGTTCTACTGCATTCATATAGGGAACCAATTTAACCATGAATTTCGTATATTTCCAGCAAAAAACTAACTTAGTTTTGAATGGGCAAACACCGATTGATTTGAATGTATAAAATTGCTGTTGATATACTCAGTGACATTAGAAGTGTCACACCCAGAAAAAATAATTTCTCCATTCAACTTGTTTTTTTTGCAACATAATGACTATACAGGGTTATCCAAATTAAGTGTCCACCATTAGTAACTTTGTTATTAGTGAAAATACAAAGTTGTTTGAATTAGCAAACTAGTAGCATTTTTAACGCTGGTAAAAATGAGAAATAAAAAAAAACAATTGAGAGTCGTTATTTTGAGTAAAATAACATTTTTTTAAATGGAAACCCCTGTATATTATATTTTTTTCTGTTAAAGCATCAAATTTTAAACAAAAAAGCTTACAATAACTTTTCTCCTAGGTTACAAATTGTTGAAGTTATGGCCTCCAATCTGAAACAATTAAATTGTATCGACAAACTTTATTTTCAACATCAACTTATAATCTTACAAAATACAATAACAATTTTTTTTTAAAGAAGATGCTCGAAAACACCACCTTGTTCTTCAATACATTTTTGGGCACGTTTTTCAACTGCTCGAACTGTCTTAAGTATGGTCCTACCATCTATCTGGGTTATCTTTTCCCTAACTGCAGTCTTTAACGCGTCAAGGTTATCGTACCTTCGCTTGTAAATTTGGTTCTTTAAGTAACCCCACAAGAAGTAATCAAGTGGGTTTAGATCTGGTGATCTGGGAGGCCACTGTATTGGGCCATTTGTTCCTATCCACTGATCATTAAAAGTAGTACTTAGAAAATGATAAGTACCTCTGGAGTTGTGGGCAGGTGCGCCATCTTGCTGAAAATGCAGATGATGTCTACTTATAAGATCCAATTCGTCTAAGAAATTAGTCAGAATTTCTGACATAAATTCCACATATCTTTCACCAGTTAGGGTTCCCTCATAAAAGAACGGGCCAACAATTTTTGAACCAATTATACCGCACCAAACGTTGAAACTGAAACGGACTTGTGGGCCTCTTGGATGTACTAACAAAAGATTTTCTCTTGACCAATAATGGTGGTTTTTTCTATTAAACATTCCAGAATTTGAAAAATTTGATTCATCTGTCCATAAAAGGTAACGAAAGTTATTTACATTTTGACGACAGAAGCTAAGATACCAATGGCAAAAAACAAGTCTTCTCTCTGGATCCCCTGCCAAAAGCGTTTGAACTGGTCGGTACTTATACGGAATAAATTTGTATTTTTTTAAAATCCTTTGAACAGTACCATAACTGAAATTAGAGTCCTTGAGAATATCTGCTATTGAATTCTCACGATAAGCTTCAAAATATCCAATAACTGCAATTTCCGTGGCCTCGCTTATTATGAATTCTTTTTTGCCCTTGTTTTAGCAAAAACATTTTCGTTGCCCCTAAATTTTCGATAAAGTCTCAGAAAATATCGTTCATACGGTTGAATGCGAGCGGGATATAATTCACTTATTCTCTTGCTCTCAAGGAGGATTTTCTGCACACTAAATAGCATTCTAACATATCACACTTTTCTTCATGGGAGAACATTTTTCTTTAAATTAATGACACAATAAAGCTTATAAACAAGTATTTACACTAATGTTTGACATTATTTGATTTTATCATTGTTTTCCAAAGCCTTCTAGTTGCGAGTATGTCCAGTTTAACAATTTGTCGCTTATCTTAATGCTGTCAAATCGCGAACGCCATGTTGTTTTCATAGCCGTCTTAATATTATAATACTGCAAATAATTAAAAATATTTATCGTTATTTTGACTTTATTTTTGACTTTAGCGGAAAAGTCATTATGAACTTTTTTGTTTAAAATTTGATGCTTTAACAGAAAAAAATATAATATACAGGGGTTTCCATTTAAAAAAATGTTATTTTACTGAAAAAAATCAAAATAACGACTCTCAATTGTTTTTTTTTATTTCTCATTTTTACCAGCGTTAAAAATGCTACTAGTTTGCTAATTCAAACAACTTTGTATTTTCACTAATAACAAACTTACTAATGGTGGACACTTAATTTGGATAACCCTGTATATAAAGCATGCTGCGGCAACAATTTAAACGTTTTATCTTTGTTTTTGTTTAACTTTGTTAAGATGTTATCTCTTAGTTTTTGTAAAGAAGGAAGTTTCTGAGAGCTGAGTAGTACAGATATTTTTAGTTATTACGAGTACCATTTTATTTACTAGTGTTGAGCATAACAAAATGTCTCAAATCTGAAGACATCCAAATTATCACCATGTTGGCGAGTTTGACAGGGGAAGAATTATTGCCTATCGAGATGTTGGCTTGTCCTATCGCGAAACTGGCCGCCATGTTAATTGTACTGCAATGACGGCAATGCGTGTGTGTCGTGTGTGAATAGAAGAAGGTAAATCATCACGAGGAAGGCCAACTGGTCCACCGAGGTGTACCACAAAGCGTCCAGATAGGCGCTTCAGACAACTAGCCCTACGAGACCGTTTTGCTACTAGGCGTTAGATCGCTGACCAATAGTTTGGAGAAGAAGGTAGACCTGTTAATATCGCCGCATTAGAGCCTTTCAGCCTTTGGACTTTTTTCAAACCGTCAACGGTTAGTGCTTCCTCTGGTTGCGGGCGACTGACGTCAACGTTTGAACTGGAGTAGAGAACAGCAACATTGGGAGGCAGAATAACATCGTCAGCGACGATTCTGTCTAGGTACGCGCGATGGTCGTAGAAGGGTAAGACGCGCCGCCATGGAAAACGGCGTGATATTGGGTTTGCTGTTGAGAGGCATGTACACAGGAGTGTTGGAGTCATGGTTTGGGGGGCTATTGCTTATGGTGGCCGATCACACGTCCCCAAAGTGCTCGTCTTACTACGGATTTTCTTGAAGAAACAGGCACTTTACACCATCCGCCACAGTCTCTGCCACAGCTAATCCAGGAAGTTCGAGTGGCTTGGAATGAGGTGCCACATCCAGCCATCGATCATCTCATTTTGTCGATGCCTAGACGTATACAGGAGTGTATTCAGCTGGGGTCGTTCAACACATTATTTTTTTTTCTTGTTACTTGTCAATAAAATTTCGTAAGTACGTTATTGTTCCATTCTTTATGTAAAGCTAGCTCATTGCCAAAAGGTCAAGTTGAAAAAAATTTTTTTTCTGGGTGTAACACGTCTAATGTCACTCAATAAAATTATCCACACATCTGCCTACACATAATCAAGCATTTCATTTTCCAGTTCCCTCCCCCCCCAAAAAAAATCAGTCTTGTTCTGCCCTTGGCACCACTGTACTTGAATTTAATCTTAATTTTTTTAGATTCCAGCATATGCTCTGGATAATGCTTTGTTGAAAAATCCTAATATGCCCAAAGCTGTGAGACTGTACCTTGGTGGAAATCCTTGGAGGTGCGATTGCATTTTCATTCCTGTTTTCCAGGTATGCTCTTGACGTCAGTTATTAAACCTTATTTATCCCAATTTCGTTCTGTTCTAGGAATTGGTCTTGCAGAAATACGCCACTCAGATAAAGGATATAAGAGATGTGAAGTGTTCTTATGTTCAAGGGGATGAGAACTCTCTTATGCCAGTAAGATCAACTAATAATTATTTATATTTCCTTCCAAAATGCGTTTTCTAATAGATTGTGATGGTAGCTAGTTTCCGTCGATCGAGGAGGTACCAGTGGCGCCGGAAGGTGCGCGTATCACATGCATACCTATGCGTTCTCGCACCAAAAGCACTGTTTGGGCAAAAAGTTGCACACCGCAAGAGAACTCATTTAAATACATATGCCCGCTGAAGAAATCAACCAATAGGATATGATTTTTGTTCCGGATACCGACAGAACGTGAATATTTCATGTGAAACTGTCAGTGTCCCAAAATAAATGTGCGCGCACATTGACGAAAGAAACAGCATTGATAGTCACCTCAGTCTGTCATTTGATTTATAAGGTCTTGTCATCCTGATGACTTTCGCAGAACGACGAATCTTGTTCATGAAGTAAGAAAATCCTGTTCATGAATTCCGGAATGAACAATGAAACGACTTTATGGCGGGGATGCTTGACTCAAGTACTACTCTCTGGAAAATGGCGAAATCGCTCAGAAACGGGAAGCGAGAACAACTCCCACACATCCATGGTGCTATTCCTGTTCTTATAGGTACCTACTGATTCCTACAACTTTCGGTTAGACGCAACCAAAGACTTCATATTCCCCAGCGTGTTTCCTCGTAAAATTTTTCCGCACGTTATGCAACATTGTCATACTTCGTCGTATTTTATCAATTTTTGTATCAATGCAACTTTAATACTATTCGATTTTATACATACGTTACTCTTAGGATCATTCACAATTTGAGGATGTACATACATGTACTACTTCATCTAGTATTGAACAGCAGGTATGTCCCTCTATTATCTGAGAAGAAAATTAGCGAAGCTACGTAGAACAGAAGTACAGCAATCTTTAACTTGAAAAAGTTTGTTTACACTTCACACTTTAGTTAGTGCCAATGGTTTCCAGTCCAGATGCCAAATTGTTATCTAAAAGCACTCTAAAAGTTAGATCGAAGGCACTATGGCTATTTGTGCATTGAAGGCATTGAAGTTTGAAAATTGAAAATATGAAGAAAATTGAACGTTCGTGTCAGCGGAACCTGCTGCACGTCCTAACAATGAATATGTTCGGTAAAAAGTCAGATGTAACATGTAACACCCAAAAAACCTATCCACAAAGTACAATTTATCGATGTTGATTGTGTAATCGGCGTATGTATCTATTAGGGCTTGAACTTCCCACCATTTGTTGTGAAGTATAACCTCATCTTTTAAATAGTACGCTTTATATATATATATATATATATATATATAAAGCTTCTGCCTTTTGTTGGGTACTTCGACAAAATTTAAGCAAAGAGGACTCTTTATACTTTTTTAATTCTCTCAAAAAAAGTATAAAGAGTCCTCTTTGCTTAAATTTTGTCGAAGTACCCAACAAAAGGCGGAAGCTTTAATTTTTCACCTAACTGGTCTAGACGACAATGACGACGTCTCAAGTTATATATATATATATATATATATATATATATATATATATATATGTTATTTATGCCACTGAAATCTGCAATGACCGTTGCTCTAAAATGAACTGACACGACTGGACATATACGAAACTAGTTCTCGAGTTCTGTTATTTCATGTTTTCGGTACCTTGTCATGCCCCGCGTTTTAATCCACAAGTTGAAACCACACAAGTTCGGTAGTTTGTCTATTTTCAAGCATATACATATGTATTTACTTATAGCATGATAAATCTGCTACAATATTATGTACTGTACTCTGTTGATCGTCCATGCTAATTCAATTCTAATCCAAGCGGTCGATCTGGCAAATTAAATATATTAGTACATATTGCAGAACTTTCCGCGAGCTCATCGCATCTAGGCTAGGGTATGAAGTATTTGGTTGCGTCTACTGACAGATGTCGGAATCGGTAGGTACCGATAAGAACAGGAATAGCACAGCACCTTTGGGGAAGATCAAATCACTAATAAGGCACTGAAGATGCTTTTACAGACGTCCTTCACTTATGTCGTGGCTATTATCAATGCCGTGCTAAGCACCCAGTACTTTCCATCGACGTGGAAGACTGTGTAAGTTATAATGATTCCAAAGAAGGTGGGTTCGATATTTCCCCAGAATTATCATCCGATTAGCCTACTGTCTGCTCCGTCGAAGCTCGCTGAAAATATCACAATGTGATTCCTGACGTGCAATTTGGATTACGGTCTGAGCATAGTATGGAGTTAAAGGCGGTTGGGCTTGTGGAGCGAGTAACCAGGGGCTTCATCCTTAACTAAAATACTGCCATCTTGCTTCTGGATGTCTCGAATACATTTGATAAAGTGTGGCCTCCTCTATCAACTAATCCGAAAAAGTTTTGAAGGTAGGAGATTTCGGATCAAAATTAATAATGTCTTGTCGAAACTACGTCCCATCAGAGCCGGTATCCCTCAGGGTTCAGTTTTCGGGCCAATCCTGTACTCACTTTCACGCATGACGCATGACGTCCCTTGCCCTAGCGACTGTGAAGTGATTTATACGCTGATGACACTGCGCTGGCGGTCCAGTCGCATTCCAGGAATCTGGTTCACGGCAGGTTATTCGAAAATTCAGGCTATCTATAGTACTGAAAAACGTACTATGGGGAAAATTATGCTAACTATCTCGGTGTCACTCTTGACAAACCTGGCAGAAGCACACTGAAGCGTTAAAAACTCACACTCACACCTCTGGAATCCCAAAATACCGTTGCAAGAACTTTTCCTGTAGAAAGACTGGTCTTTATTTTTCGCGGTGCTGCCTCTCCATGCTTTCGCAACTCTATGGACAATTTTTTTGCCAATCGTATACTTGTGTCCTTAAAATTTATCGCCGAACTGTGCTGTTAATCGCCGCAAAATTTCAGACTGTTTTACGCCCTCCCGCGACAAAAAAAATATGATAATGCGTTACACAGCAGACGTCTGCAACTCTTTCTCAGACGTGATGCTACTAACAGCTCATCTACTGATCTACTTCAGCGTGCCAAACCGACTTCCCTCTTCCTTTTTTTTTTTTTTTTTTTTTTTTTTTAACGAGGGGGGAATGCATTTACGCACCATACCATAGCACGAGCTACGACGTGTGTGGGGCTCCAGGGTCTTGAAGAGATCACCTAATACCCACTAAACCCTAAACCTCCGCGTGGCCCGACTCATCAGCGTCTCGGTAGGCCATGTGTTGTGCGTGACCTGCGGTCTGCTACAACGTCTCCTCATGTGTTTCAGTCTCTGGGAACGCCGGGTTGGTTCCCTTTACCTCGCACATTCTATCGATGTCGTTAAGCGATCATCGATAGAGGGTCTGCTAGTTTCTCTTGAAACTCTTGTTTTCGAAAAATCAAGAGTTTCAAGTCCTCTTACCAATATGTTGTTCCTGGTCCTGGTCCTGAAGGGTCCTGGTCCTGGTGGGTCCTGGTCGTGGCGGGTCCTGGTTGGTCCTGGTCCCGGTGGGTCCTGGTCCCGGTGGTTCCTGGTCCTCTGCATCCACGCCGTGGGGGGGGGGGGAGCAGCCGCAAATTCTCCTAGTCTCCTAGTCAAGGTTCCAGTTAGCGGGTGCCAACTGGGACCTTGGTCTGGGGTACCTGGTTCTGCGGTTGCGAGGCCTCTCGTCCGGATCGTAGTCCATGAGGAATCGTAGCTGCTCGTTCGGGTGGTCCTGAGCTTTCTCGAAGGTCTTCTCCGCTTTTTTCCTCATGTACTCGTGGATGGTATCCCAATGCAGGTCTCTACGCAAGGTTGAGTTCCTTACGTAGGAAGGTGCATTGGTGGCGATCCGGAGTAGCTTCATCTCTAGAGCAGCAAGTCGCTTGCGGTAGCTGGGGGCAGCGTACCCCCAGACCGCGGAGGCGTAAGCGAGCTGAGGTCTGGCGATGGCCTTGATCAGCCGTAGCTTGGTCGCTAGCGGCATCTGGCTGTGTCTACCCAGTAATGGATAGAGTTGAGCCATGGCTGCTCTGGTTTTTGCGATGGCAGCTTCTATGTGCGCTTTCCAGGTGAGGGACTTGTCAAAAACGATCCCCAGATATTTGACATTGTCGCTCCACTGGATATCTTCATCGAAGATGGATGCTTCGAGAGGTCTTGCAATCCTTCTTCGTTGAATGAAGATTGCCTGCGTCTTCTGGACGTTGATGCGGATTTTCCATTTCACGCACCAGTCCTGAATTTGGTCCAGTTCACCCTGTAGTCTCCTACGGATGATCTCGGGTCGTCTATGCTTGGCGGCTATAGCAGTGTCGTCTGCATATAGGGCCAGCATTGTGTCAGCTGTCTTCGGCACATCGTAAGTATAGATGTTGTAGAGCAGGGGGGCTAAGGCTGACCCCTGGGGCACGCCTGCTTCCAGCTGACGTCTTGTTGAATGGCATGTACCAATCTTCACCGTGAACCATCTTTGTGTTAGATAGCTCTGGATCAGTTGGCACATGTTCGCATCGATTCCGGCGGCTTCCATTTTGGCGATGAGTCCATCGTGCCAAACTCGGTCGAAGGCTCGTTCCACGTCCAGCAGGACGAGACCGGTTGCCTCCTGGAGATTGAAGCCGCTGGTGATGTTTTCCGTCAGTCGTAGCGCTTGGAGTTCCGTGTTGTGGGAGGATCTGAAGCCGAATTGCTCTGGGGGGAGAAGTTGCAGTTCTTCTGCCTGCTTCTCTAGTCGAACGGCGATAGCCTTTTCGACTACTTTGCCCACCGAGGAAACCAGGCTGATGGGCCGGTAGTTCTGGGGCAACTTCCGGTCCTTGCCTGGCTTGGTGAGCATTATAACCTGGGCTTCCCGCCACCGCCGCGGGAAGTGGTTAAGTCTCAGAGTGGCATTGGCGATGTTGGTGAGCGCAGCAATGCCTTTGGTGGGAAGGTTCTTCAGCATCCTATTGTTGATGCCGTCCCTTCCCGGCGCCTTTCTGACCTTCAACCTGCGGATGATCAGACGGATTTCCTCTGGACTGGAGGGGTGATCCGTCTCCTGGCCAGGTGGTCGAC